TGATGGGAAGAGAAAAAGCATCGCCGCCTTCCGGGAAAGCCGAAACTCCAAAGAATTCTTGGAGGCGAGAGGACAGCCGGCGGTGGTGGTTATGGGTATACCGTGAGCTCCGCGTCGTCGAATAAATTAAGAAATAGTATTTTTCCTAATCGTAACTGAAAATCTCGATATCCGAAGGATAATCACGGGAGGAAGGCCAGCTGAAAACTGAAGATAAAAAAACTAATGTAACTCATCGATTTATAATGAATAAGATGGTTGCTGATGAAAAAGAAGCGTGCAAGAAAGCTTTTTTTTTGGAAGAAAGAAAAAGGAAACGGAGAACTGAATAAAGCGATTTTATGGATGGATACACGTAATGGTGCATGTATCCCAACACTTCCGTGAGATGAATTGCATTTTTGTTACGCAAGCTGTACACAGCTAGATATTCATGAAATTGCCAACATAAATACAAACGAGAGAAACAAAACACAAAGGGGTTCTTCGTCGGGTGATCTATTTGCACAGACTCATACACACCGCCAAATTCGCCATCTATATATTATTAAAATTTAAACGACTGGCTTGAACAATTTACTTAAAATAGCGGTTACACATGACACGTATGCAAACAAAATAATACATTGAACACACATTGATAACGTCCGAGCCAGGAAAAAAATTGAAATAAGAAGTTTCAGCATGATCATGTATGAACTAATTTTTCGTGGTGGTTTAACGTACCTGATGACGTTTGCTTCTTCAAAATTAATTTCCCGCCACGATATAATAACGCATAATTGATGGGAAAGCACCACTATTATAACATCGTGTTTTACACTGTCACTGCGAAAACACACAATATATTCTTTTGTACGAATAACTATTATCAGAATACAGCCAACACTGATTCACAATTGGTAGATGTGTAAAGTTGCTAAAATTAATGTTCATGGACGTTTATCGAGTAATTCGATTTTTATTTGGATTTTTCGAAAGAAAGTCGGGATAGGTAAAGTTCTTCGGAGGTGTGTCACTCAACTTCCAAACGGTCGAACAGATTGGAATACCTGTCTACCTGTCCGTGGAATAGCCGGTTTTACGCAAGTATTACAATATTCAGTGGCACCGTCGGGGAGAAACGAATTTTCTCGCCGAGAAGAACAGAGCGATAAGTGTAACTTAACAAAGCGCGATCATTCCCATACCTGTACTTTCCGTACATTCGACCGACTACAACTGAACTCGAGTCCACTCATCGGCTCTGACTTTCATACGAAAAACCAATTCACAAACACTAGTGGATAAAACGGCTATGGCGGTAAAGCGCCTCTACAAGCAATCTTAGGATGTGACTCACTGCACAGGGACGACTCTATGCTGCAAGTATTTGGGTTCTTCCGTGAG